ACTATGATGCCGGCGAAACGTTTGAGAATGTACCAAGTCCACTGTCTGATGCTGGAAATCATGACAACTAACATGGCAGACGACTTCAGGCTAGGTGCGTCCTACATAGTCCCCCTGACAACAAGACCAAGTTGTGACTACGAGATCAGCCCACTTCTTTAAATCGAAAGGAGACTGTGACCATATCAGAGGCCACAACATCTTGGTCTTCATATCTTCAATCACCAAGCAAGTTGCTTGACGTCTATGGACACAGTGTGGAGAAACCTGGGACAGCATTCTGCATAGTAATCGCTTGCTTAGAATGCATGTCAGCGTAGCAGACTGATGCTTAAGTAGAGGTTTGTCAAGACACAAATTGATATAATGAAGTATATAGTTTTCTAGGTTCATTCCTAACATTGACTCTGTGTCCAAGCAATCTTCAGGGCATGTCGCTTAAGACGATGTAAGGACTGTAAGTTGAGAGCTTTATTCCTCAGAATGCCATTGAATTTTACTTAGATTTGCCTTCCAAAAAGCGATCTCATAAAAGGTGGAGTTCAGTTTCTATTACGTCTAGATTCGAATCTCTTCACCCAACACTTTCACTCGAAATGGAAGTAAGTTCAACAATTATGAGACAAGAGATTCCTCGAAACCCAACTTTTCTTCGCATGGCTGAGATAGCCGTTTGGGTTGCAAAGCTAATTGAAATTCAATGGTATCGCGAGGCCTACTTGTCTCTTATTCAAAAGTTACTGATAGCTTCGAAAACAAATGCCTGACTGCTTACTGTATTCTAATCAGTCACAGTTTTAGTTCGGAGCTATCAGACAGATCTATATTACAACCCATTGGTCTTATTTACGATTAGACCTATGACTCGTATATCCTGATCTTTCAATAATTTTAAACATATTTCAGCCACCCTTTTCTCTCGAAACAATAGAATATATCGGTGGTTCCCAAACTTTTCCTAGTCACGGCGCCCTTCTTTAATTAAAATTTTTCCATGGCTCCCCACCATAAGTATGACTATTCGTAAGTAAGAGATAAAAATAAATAAAACTCGTGTATCTTCATTATTTTTTTCACTTTATTAACATTAAATTAATATTTAATAATTAACGTGATGGATGAGCCTGCAAATCACTACACACTTTTTCAAATTGTGGAATTAAACTGGACACGGCCAGCCTCATTTCCTTTCCCACGTTGATGTTTGCTCTATACTTGCTTTTTATTACAGCGGCCGCCGAAAACCCAGCTTCGCACAAATACAACGCTGAAAATGGAATTAGAAACCAAACTCTAAATAACTGTCATCATATTTACGATATTTTCGTTTCTTCACACTAGTGCCACTGGTTAAAGGCATAATTACTTTATTTGCACTATTACGTTTATAACTGTTCAAAAATCGGTCCATTATCAAAGATACAAAAGCCCAAAATCACAAAATTATTTATCAAAGACAACAAACAAGAAGTAATATGATACTAACTAAATGACAATATGAACTCATTTACCAATTAATGTCACTTTTTATTTATTGATATATGAAGAGCTGAGTTCAACTTCACTAGACTCAAATTATAAGTCGACTGATTGAATCGAGCCGGCAACTCTTGCATATATACTTTCCGCAAGATCTTCCAGAACATTCCAAATCTGTCGCGTAGGTTCTAGACACCTCGACGTATCTAGTGCGATCGTATGGCGCGATCGAGAAAAAGCAGCGTTTTCTCTCACGTTTTTGTTTAGTTAGGCCAAATGCCTGGGCTAAATTAATTATGCAGCTTCTACAATATTTCGCGACGCCTCTGTAAAGAGGCCGCGGCGCACAGTTTGGGAATCACTGGAATAGATGAATCAAAATGCATTGGCTATTAGTTAAGCCATGAGTTAGTTACTAGTTAAGAGCATCAGGTAACACACCCTCTATAAGTGGGTCGACCTCGTTGTCGCAACTTGGTCTTGTTGTCAGGGCGACTTAGTAGAACGCATCTAGTCCAAAGTCGTCTGCTATAGTGGTTGTCATAATTGAGAATGTACCAAGTCGACTATCTGATGCTGGGAATTATGACAACTACTATGGCAGACGACTTCGGACTAGGTGAGTTCTATTAAGTCGCCTTGACAACAAGGCCAAGTTGCGACAATGAGGTCAATCCGCTTTTATAAATCGAAAGGAGACTGCGACCATACCAGAGGCCACACCATCTCGATCTTCATATATTCAACGCACCCTCTAGTTTAATTCGTCAATAGCCGAAGTACTAAGGAAAGGGAGATCCCTAAGTTGATCTTATTTCCCATAATCTCCAACTCCTGAAACGACCCGGCAATAATGCCTTGGCAACAAAACACACGAGGTCTGATTATAGATTTAATTAATTCATTTTTAAAAGTGTTTATGTGTGTAGTGGTTCTTTTTGCCTTTACGCACTGAAAGGAAAATAAGCATACTTGAACAATTTTTCACGACTTAAAGAATAAGAATAGGAAGGAGGTAAAGACATCGGAGTTGGTAAGTGGCCGAAAAGTGTGGGGAAAAGAGTGAGGGAAAATCGAGGAGGGAGGAAACAAAAGTTGACTTCCGAATAACCCCATTTCAAGGAATTATCGCCCTCTTCAGGTCTGCCCATCGTTTCATTGGCCTTTCGCCGTCCAGCTGCGGTAGGTAGTCGGCCATAATCAGATCATCCAAATCTTCTCTAAAACGTTGAGTCTGAAATGGTTAAGAAAAGGGCGTATAGCAAGAAAGTGAATTGTTGCAAATGAAACTCAAGATCTTTGGAGAGACGTATGCACTGGAAGCATTTATATGGTCGGATTTACAGATTTCAAAAATCTGACTTTTGGAGAGATATACAACAAGAACAACAATATCCTAAGCATTTTTGAATAATGAAGCTCCAACTTACAATCGACTTAAAGATTCATTTACGGGACAGTAAAGGCAGCGACTATGAGAAAGGTGAGGCATGCTTCAGACCAAGGGGAGAAGAAATAAGGGATCCAACTTGGATCAAATAAACATTAACGCAAATGAAGGAATGAGGGTAGTGAGATACAAGTAACATGCTCCTCACCCCAGTCTCCCTTTAGCCCAAAGGGCCCCTTGGGCGAGATTCGAACCCAGGACGTGCGTATCCAGAGCAAAATATGTCAGCATACTAGCCCAAATGGCCCCAAAACAACTGGGCTGCAGGGTAGGTTGGTGCTTCGAGGCGAGACAAGTTTTTCTCAATCCAGCTCTATGTGGGGGTATATCGAGTAGGCGGCTCCACAATTGATATGCCATTGACTGTATCAGTATGTTGTGATCGTAGGGGCCCAAAGCACAATTAATGTGCATCGTGGGTACAAGAAAAAACGAGACTAATCGACTAAGTAAAGCCACCCCATCTGAGTTTGCGCAATTCGAATATTGAAACTTGGTCACAGATAGACATTAATTCTTAACCAAGAAACATCAACCGTTTCGACAAACTCGCGGTTATGAAAACATGCTTCGTCATCTCAAAATATGAATCATAGTCATTTTAATTCAATTTTATGCACAAAGTTGATATATGCTGAGTTTATTTATAAACTTGCGTGGAAGCCGTTTTTGAAAAAAATATTGTTTATGTTCTAAAGTCTTTTATTTGCCCCACAGGCAAGGTGGTTTGTCCTTCAAAGGTAGTCTTCAATAGACCTATACACCGAATAGGGTCAAGCATCCCCATAGGGTTGGTGGACACCAAGCCCTGGAACGGAAAATCACGGTTTCCGTTTGAAAGAAGACAAATTGATATTATGTTCACTCAAATAATTAATAACTGAATAGAAACGTCTTCATCAAGGTGGACTTTGCTGAAGAAATTTGGCCAACTTTCTGCATTTCTCTAAGGCACACATAAACATTAAAAAGTGCTAAATAACTTCCGGGTCTGATTTATGTTCAAGGAATATTTCTTCGTCTTTTCGCAACTTTTTTAGAGGCATGTGTGAAGTTTAATCTAGGTGTGGGCAAAGATACTGAGCATCGCGTTATGGGAAAAAACTAAAAGGTGATTTCCAAACCAGGACTTTCCAGTTCTTATGAAGAGTACATTGTAAACTGTTGACAGTAAGATTGGCGGCAACATGCATTTTTCATGTACCACATG